ATTTTTTTACTTAAAAAATATTTTATTTATTTATTTGACAGAGAGAGACACAGCGAGAGAGGGAACACAAGCACAGAGAGTGGGAGAGTGGGAAGCAGTCTCCCCACTGAGCAGGGAGTCTGATGCGGGGCTTGATCTCAGGACCCTGGGATCATGACCTGAGCTGAAGGCAGAGGCTTTAACACACTGAGCCACCCAGGCGCCCCAGCCACGGTGCGCTTTTTTTTTTTTTTTTTAAAGATTTTATTTATTTATTTGACAGAGGGAGAGAGATCACAAGTAGGCAGAGAGGCAGGCAGAGAGGGAGGAAGAAGCAGGCTCCCTGCCGAGCAGAGAGTCCAACGTGGGGCTCGATCCCAGGACCCTGAGATCATGACCTGAGCTGAAGGCAGAGGCTTAACCCACTGAGCCACCCAGGTGCCCCCACGGTGCGCTTTTAAAGATACTTTGGAGACAGATGTTTCTGCATTACAAATGACATCTAAGTAGCTGGATGCCACTTCATGCCGTTTTCTCTGTGCCGCTTTCACGGGTAGATTTATATGCGCGGCCACACGTACCCAGACTCTAGGGAAAGCGAGGTGTGCTTTGTTTGAGCGCACAAATGTGGCTTTATTAAAGTAGTTCAGTTGTAAAACCAGCTCCTTCATCATTAGAGGAATCTGTCATTAAGAACTGGCCAGATGATAAGAGTTTTTTCTGCCCAGTAGTTCAGACAAATTTAAAGAAATAAATGTTATATTTTGGAGTATTGGGTGACTTTAAATAATAGAACTTTTTTTTTTAAAGATTTTATTTATCTATTTGACAGAGAGAGACCACAAGTAGGCAGAGAGGCAGGCAGAGAGGGAGAAGGAAGCAGGTTTCCCGCCGAGCAGAGAGCCCGATGCGGGGCTCGATCCCAGGACCCTGAGACCATGACCCGAGCCGAAGACAGAGGCTCAACCCTCTGAGCCACCCAGGTGCCCCGATAGAACATTTTTGAATCCTAAAATTACATGAGACAAAATTCAATCAAATGGTATTTCCTCATCTTAGGCCCTAAAGTTGTCTTACTATTTCCTGATTTTCATTTTTTTTCAGAGCATGACATAAAACATTTAACAAACTAATAACCTGGAATATGAAAGGTACTTTTTTCCATAGTCTTTATTTTATTTTATTTTATTTTAAGATTATATTTATTTATTTGACAGCGAGAGAGGAAACACAAGCAGGGAGAGTGGGAGAGGGAGAAGCAGGCTTCCTGCTGAGCAGGGAGCCTGATGCAGGGCTCTATCCTAAAACCCTAGGGTCATGACCTGAGCCGAAGGCAGATGCTTTATGACTGAGCAACCCTTTTTTTTTAAAAACTTTTTTTTTTAAGATTTTATTTATTTTATTTGAGAGAGAGTGAGCGAGAGAGAACGCAAGTAGAGAAAGTGGCAGAAACAGAGGGAGAAGCAGGCTTCTCATTGAGCAGGGAGCCCAACGTGGAACTCGATCCCAGGACCCTAGGACCCTAGGACCCTGACCCGAGCTGAAGTCAGGTGCTCAACCCACTGAGCCACCCAGGCACCCCTCTGTGTTTATTTTTAAAAAGACTTTTTATGGGGCGCCTGGGTGGCTCAGTGGATTAAAGCCTCTGCCTTCGGCTCAGGTCATGATCTTAGGGTCCTGGGATAGAGCCCCGCATCGGGCTCTCCACTCAGCAGGGAGCCTACTTCCCTTCCTCTCTCTCTACCTGCCTCTCTGCCTACTTGTGATCTCTGTCAAATAAAATCTTAAAAAAAAAAAAAAGACTTTTTATTATGGGGAATTTCAGATACATAAAAAAGGGGAGCAGGAGAGTAATGAGCCCCAAGTACCCCACAGTCCATCTTTCCTGCTGACCAGCCCTTCATCCTCGCTGTTGTTCATTCTCCAGGTTTCTCCTGAAGCACATTCCAGACATCACATTAGCATTTCCATCTCTGTCTATAGAAGATGATTTAAGAAAAAAAAAATGACCATAATAATGTTTACATCAAAAGATTTTATTTATTTATTTATTTGAAAGATTTTATTTATTTATTTGACAGAGATCACAAATAGGCAGAGAGGCAGGCAGAGAGAGAGGAGGAAACAGGCTCCCTGCTGAGCAGAGAGCCCGATGTGGGGCTCGATCCCAGGACCCTGGGACCATGACCTGAGCCGAAGGCAGAGGCTTTAACCCACTGAGCCACCCAGGCACCCCCTACATCAAAAGATTTTAGTAATTATTTGATATTAACCAGTATTCAAATTCCTAATGTAAAACATTTTAGTTTTATTTTATATAAGACAGCTAGTTTTTATTAACATGAAAAGTCGGCAAAAAATTTAGAGTCCTGTTACATATTTATACCACATATTTTAATATCTGCTTCAGATAAACTTGTGCCTCTGATGGAAAATCCTACAGATTCCAAGGTATATTTTACTTCCCATCTTCCTGCACAAAAAAGTTCTCTGACCTCTTTTTTGGTAGCGTGAGTCTGTCATTGGCTTGTCAGGATGAGGCCTCTTCTCTCACTTTCTGTGAATGTCTGATTGCTTTGAGATTTCCTGGTCTTAACTCTTCCTGTTTGCAGGATCGAGGGAAGCTGAACATTTTGTACTGAGGAAACGGAACAGAGGGTTGACCGTGGCCGAAGCCCATCTTGCCCTCACCATGGTGCTCTGATGGCACAAGTACCGCCTTCATTTGGGGGCGGGATGGAGTGGGCAGCCGTGGGGAAATTCTTAACGGAATTTATTGCCACTGGTGTGAGTACTAAAAAGGAATGGCCTTGGGAGCTCAGGTGATTTGTAACTTTGGATGAGGCGACTCGCTTTTGAGAGCACCATTGGACGAGGGAAAGGGACTTCTGTTGATTGAATAACCCATTCACTGTATCTCCCTAAGAAGATACAGTTCGAATATAACAGCATAGGAATAACCATAGTCATTTAGAATTTGGCACAGGTCAAATCCCGTTACAACAAATTTCCATAGAATATCCAAATTCCGTATATCATATCGTAGAACTTTTTTTGGTCTTAACTTTCCTTAGGGAGGACAAGCACAGGATTTAATGTTTTGGGGGCATTTTGGCCCCGTTCAGCATCCAAATGAACACCGCAGCCAGTTTCCCCATGACTGGGACCATGCGAGTTCGCTGGAAGCCGGCTGGCCCCACGGTGTGGCCGGTCCTTTAGTTCAGCCAGCAAAAAGCCTAGGGGGCAGCAGGATTGCTTGGTGTTTTTTGGGGGGAAGACAGACCATACAGGAAAGATGGAGTCCCTATTCATGAGGAGCTGCTAGGCTGCTGGGGAGAGAGGGGCCACTAAAGTCTGAGTCTGAGGCAGCAGCGTGGCCATGGCAGTGGTTCGGAATCAAGGAAGGAGCGAAGCTGTTGCGGGACCCAGTTACCGCTCCCCCTGAGAGGTCACCACGTCACAAACCCAAGCCGTCAATAAACATCTACAAGTATTTCTGGAGGATTTTCATTTTTGTAGCTTTCACTGTAACGGGATTTAACCTATAACATCGTTTCATCAGAGAAACGCAGATCACACGCAGATCACACAAGTGAAAGTATCTATCCCCCCATTTGTCCTTTCTGTATTTTGTACAAAATGATCTCCACGGGATGTTAAAGATGTTACTGAATATGTGTAAGTGCAAGTCTTTTGCAGATAGCGTCATGAACACGGATGTTTGTTTGCCTCTGTGCTGAGGAAGCTCGCACAGGCACGGTTGTGCAGAGCGCGCACGAGAGCGTCTGCGGAGTGTGTCTGTGCAGGATGGACGGGAGCGCGGCTCTAGCGCGCTGGGCTCTTTGGTGCTAGCGTAGCTGGTGTTGCTTAACGTGGCATTCCCCCTCCCCCGCCGCCCCGTCTACACTTTACACCCTTGGTACAGGTATTTTTGATAAAGCTGTGGCATGGAAAGGTATGTTCTTCACGGGATGTTCGAGAATCTTTTTACCTTAACATTTTAAAAAGTTCCCTTTATGGGCTTCCTTCTATGTCTGGCTTAGGCCGGCTCCGTTTAATGATCACAGATAATGTTTTGAGAGGCAGTATTTGAGTGTAAAATTTTGACACGATACTTAAGTTTCTGACTTGCTTTTCTCTCTCCCCTTATTCAAGATCGTGTGAAGATTTCTAATGCACAAGCACTCGGGCTGGGGGGTGGCTTTTAAAAGACACGATCTGTGACGTGGAGACGGAGCGCGGCCAGAGAGCTGCTGACGGTCACTAAGGGTCCAGTCGTTACTGCCAGATCCCTGGTTTCCAGTAACTGGCCATTTCAGTGAGGAAAGTGCTATAAAAAGTGCTATATATATATATATATTTTTTTTTTTTTAATCAATATCTGAAGTAAGTGTAAGGACTTGGTAAATTCGTATGACCCTCTCCTTGGTGGAGGCAGAATTCAGATGGAGCCAGCGACAGGCCGAGCGAGCGGGGCGAGGCCGTGGAAGCAGCAGTCGGCAGGCTCATCGCACGCGTTCTGTGCCAAGGCTCCTGCCTGCACCGGGCTTTCTTCTCTGTCCCCGTTCTGTGCTGACCATGGCGACCTGCCACGGGTGTGTGTACACTCCCTGTTCTTGCAGGAAGGAAGCTTCCTCAGGACAGTGTTGACTTGAAGGAACCACCTAGCTAAATTGGGGAGACCACGTGGCCCTTTGTCTTGGGAAGGCCTGATTGGAAGAGCGCCCCCTATTGACTTCCCTCTCCTCGGACAGTGAAATTGTGAAAAGGTACACGGCTGTTTGGGGTCAACAGCACATCCCTTTTCTTGTAAAGAAACGAAGCAATTCCTCGGGTGTTGGTCCTAGTGCTGGACACTGGTGGTGCCTTTTGGCCTGCCGCTGGTGACATCCGTGGGTTGAGAAGCAGTCGTTAAAGACCTGCGATGTTCTGTAAAGCCTGACTGTTCTGGTGGTTGCAAAGCTAGTGTCTGTTTGGTGCTCCCCATCTTACCAGAAGTGTTTGCTTTTTCTCATTCGTAGAGGTCCTGTAATAAAGAGGGATCCGACCAAGCTCAGAAAGAAAATGAATTTCAAGTAAGTAATTAAGTGCATTCTGCCTCTGCCTGAGGTGCACGCGGTGTCCGTGGTGCCTGTCCGCTCGCTGCCTCCCCGGGGGCCGGGCTGTGTCTCAGAGGCTGGGCTCCGGCCGCGCGGGGGGCTGCCCACGTGAGAGCGAGTGCGGCCCGGCTCTTGTAGCTCCTGCTCAGTGTTGGCAGTGCATGTGTGGCGGCCTCGCGGTGATCGGAACAGCACGTGGGGGGCCAAGGGAAGGTGGTTTGGGGAGATGCTTGAGCGTGACAGGACGCGGAGGCAGGCCGGCTCGGGCGCTGGGCTTCTGACCCCCTTCTTCTGTCCCACGCAACACTGAAGCAGGCGGTGCCCGGGGCAAGCAGGAGTGCCTCTGCCCGCACGCGGTGCCCTGGTCAGCGGGGCCTATTCCCGATCCAAATGACCCCCTCTCTGAATGCTGACGTTCAGAAGAGCTTGAGGTCGAGAGCACGGATGTGTCAGCCTGGTCCCTCTTCAAGGCTCAGATGTGGGGCGTCTAGAGCAGTGATGTCCTCATGCCGGGGGGATAAGCCACCTTGGAGCGCACTGGCCCGGTGTGTGCAGGTTTGTACGGACGTACACACCGCCCACAACACAGAAAGAAGTATGCTGGCTTTACTCACTGTAGACTAGTTATTGAAACTGTCAAGAAATGGGAATTAATAAGAGGTGAGATCGTGAAAGAATAAAAGTACTGATGTGTCTCCCCTCATGTGTTGGTGGGTGGTTCCAGGGACACCCTGCCCCGGAGACCCCCGTATAGCTGATCTAGAACATGTGCTCTGGGTGACGCTGACAGACGCCACCAGGTGGGAAGTGATGGACATGGAGTTTTCCGCCAGCCCAAGTCCTTGGGGTATAGGCCTGTGTGTGTCCTGATGGTCGACCAGGCTGGGCCACAGGGGCCTCCGCGATGCCAGACCCACAGCATGTTCTCAGTTCTAGTGAACGAGGCTTCTTGGTGGTACCTGGCAGCACCCCGCCTGTTCCAGTATGTTTTCTTCCCCTCCTTGGCTCCTTTCTGGGTCTGATCTGTTGTCTGACGTGCCCCACAACGTGGCCCGAGGCCCTCTTCCCGCGCTGCCCCTCAGCGCCATCCGCTGGCCATCTCGCCAGGTCCGAGGCTGAACACTTGGTCTCCACCCCACAGCCTCCAAGGAACCTCAGTTTCTCCTTTCTCTGCCAACAGAAAGCCAGGAGGCCCCTCGGACCCCCTTCTCTCCCTCACCCCATGTCTCAACCACGGGTCTGTTGTTTCCCTGTGGACTCTACCCCGGGTTTGTGCGCTCATCTCCTTCGGTACCACCCGCCTCCCTAGTCCAGGCTGCCCCCGTCTCCTCTGGGGACTCTGCTTCCCCTCCTGCTCTAGCTGCTGCTCTGATCGGGTCAGCCGCTGGCCTGATGTCCCTGATGTCCCTGATGTCCTTCAGCCCTCCCTGTACCCCAGGCCAGCTTCCCTGTGGTCTGCCCCTGCCGAGCTTTCCAGTCTCTTCTGTGTCCTTTCCCATTCTTGCTCTCCAGCCACGTTGTCCTAAATGGTGGGGTTTTCTTCGCAGATGCTGTTCCTCCCAGTTGGAATGCTCTCAGCTTCCGCCATTTCCCAGCCCCCTTCTGTTTGTAGTGAGGACCTCGCCCAAGGGTTGCTTTCCCACGGAGCCCTCGTGTTCCCTAGACGAGGTGTGTGTGTCTGTTTTGTGCCCTCGCCGAGAGCACCGTCTTCCTGGCCTCTGCACCTCCTCTGGCTGTGAGTTTGCAGCAGGATGTGATTCATGTCTGCCTCCTGTTCTTGCGAGGGTCTAGGCTCAGGGCAGGACCTCCCCACCTCTTGCTGCCTCGGTGGCTCTCAGGCCCGCTATCCAGTGGGGCGCAGATAGAATTGTCGAATGATGGCTATAGCCAGAGCCTGTGCACAGCTCTGTAACCTTCTGCCCCTTGCCTGCTGGTGCACACATTCCTGGTCCCTTCCCCTCCTCAGTCCAAGATGTTCTGTGAGCCCGTTTGGATGGCTGGCCTTTGTCTGCAGTCTTTGTCCTCTCTCTTCGGGACGTTTCCTGTGCTAACTGGCCTCGCTACAGCCTCACTGTCCCAGAGACCTCTCCCCTGCAGCTCCCTGCGGGGAGGTACTTTCCCATCATGTCCTGGTACTGGGAGTGGGGGGGTCCTTCTTTCTTTTTCCTTGTTCCTGCTTTCAGACCATTTCCCTTCTGTTGAACACCCTCCTGAGAGCCACCATGGTTTGGTGAAGAGTTCCGTGTCTGCTTGGTCTTTGGCCCCGGCCACCTCGCCCTCTCTGGGCCTGCACCTGAGCCACTGGACGTCATTAGAGGGAAACCCCATGGACAGGAGGACCACCAGCCTCTCTGGGAGGCTCACCCTCCTGACCTGGCCGTTCCCTGCCCTGGCTGCTGTGTTCTTGGCCCTCATTTTCCCACTTCAGCCCAGGCTGTCTGTGTCTATACCCGCCCTTCCGACGGGCGGGTCCTTCCCTTGTGCTCCCAACTCCAGCCGCAGGCGTGTGGCTGCTGTCCCTTCCAGGGGCCAGAGCTTGCTTGCTGCCCTCGCCCCACGTCTGCTCCCTCTCTGTAGCAGGATTTCTTTTTTTCTTGGGAAAAAAGTGTTGAGCGTTTGGGAAGCACAGAATAACGTAATAAATGCCCTCGTCCCACTGCACAGAATAAGGAATTGGTTTTGCTGTAGTGCTTGATTTCAGTCTTTTTTGTACACGTTTCACTTATTTTTAACTTTTTATTTCAAACTAATTGTAGACTTACAGGAAGTTTGCAGAACTAGTACAGAGAGCTCCCCTCCGCCCCTTCCCCGACTTCCCTGGTGCGAACACCTCACACAGCCCTGGAGGCCAGCACCCACGGGATAACAGCAACTGAGCTGCAGGCCTTACCTGAATTTCCCGGGTTTCTCCACAGATGCTTTCTCTGTCCTGTTCCAGCATGCAGCCTGGACCCCACGCTGCCTCTGCGGGTTCTTCCTTTGTCTGTCCCGTCTGCCTCTGTGTTACTCACAGTCCCGAGGCTTGCTAAGCACATGGATCAGTAATTTCATAGAATGTTCCCTTGGCATAGGTTCGTCTCACCTTTTCTCATGACTGGAATGAGGTTATGCAGTTTCAGCAAGAATACCACAGAAATGCTATTCTGTCTTCTCTGAAAGTTCATAATCTTGGGACACCTGACTGGCTCAGTAGGTGAAGCGTCTGCCTTTGGCTCGGGTCATGGTCTTGGCATCCTGGGTTCAAGTCTCGCATTGGGATCCTTGCTCTGCAGGGAGCCTGCTTTTCCCTCTGCCTGCTGCTCCCCCTGCTTGTGCATTCTCTCTCTCTGACAAATAAAATCTTTTTTTAAAAAAATAGATTTTGTTTGTTTGACAGAGATCACAAGTAGGCAGACAGAGAGGGGGAAGCAGGCTCCCCGCTGAGTAGGTGAGAAGCAAGAGGTGAGAGCCTGATGTGGGACGTGACCCCAGAACCCTGAGATCATGACCTGAGCTGAAGGCAGCGTCCCAACCCACTGAGCCACCCAGGTGGCCCAGACAAATAAAATCTTAAAAAAGAGAGACTTTATATTTAAAAACAAAACCAAACCCACAAAAGTTCATAACCTCAATATTCTTATTACAGGATTTTAATTCTTTTAAATAAATACAACTGTGTAGATATGGTGAATCATCAGTCTGCACACCTCTGCCCCCCCACAGCCAGCGGTCCCCCTCCCTCTTCCATTCGCTGATCCCCCCGCCCACCTTTCCGCTGCCCTGTCTGGTCACCAAGGACTTCCACGTTGCCAAATCCAGTGGCCTCCTTGCCCTTCCCCATGTCCCCTCTGAACAGCCATCACCGGACACCGCTTTCACCTTCACGCTCGCCGCTGCGTCTACCGCCCCCATCTGAATGAGGGCTTCGGGGGTGGACCGTAAAACCTCGAAGAATGCGTGAAATTTCAGCATTTTTGCTTTTTAGAATGAAACAGGCTAGAAAATACTAGAAGGTCTCGCACAGTGGTGAACAAGGTTGTTTTAGGGATCGGGTGTGTTGGATAGCTTGCTGTGTGAGGACAGTCACTGGGGTGCTCGGGCTCCATGTGGTTCCTCACCCGCTGCGCGCCAGCTGTATACTCAGCGTTAGACGCTGAAGGCTTCGTGGCCCAGACCTCTGGCCTCTCCGAGCTCATTTTGTCCTCTTCCTCCCGGCTTGCTGTGATCCACTGCGGGGCCGGGGGAGAGGGGGCTCCCAGTTCCTGGAATGTGCTTGCTTCTCACCCCTCAGGAGTCCGTGTCACCGTCTCCTTAGAAGCAGCCATCCCGCCCTATCCTGTCCCCACAGTGTCCCCAGCCTGTGCCGCCCTTGCGCACTCTTGTCTGCTTCTGGCTCTGGAAGGGGGTCCCCGCAGGCGACGGTCGTGCCTTGTTCTTCTTTCCCCGGGGCTCACCACAGTGCCAGGCACGTAGTGGACATCCCGTAAATATTTTGGGACTGAGTATATATGAATGTTTCTGAAGCCAGAGTAAATCGTTTCAAGTGGAGGGTAGGACCTTCTGTCCTGAGAGTTGGGACCCGCTGTGGTTGGTTGGGTGTCTGGGCCTGGGTGAGCTGGAGCAGGGGACTGGGTCATGCGGGTCCACCCTGTTCTCTACCGTGCGCTCTCCTTTGCTGTGCTCGCTTCCGCACGGAGCAAGCAGGAAGGTGTGTGCAGACCCGGTAGTTACAAAAAGGCTTCCTGTAGTTGATGCACTCGTTCTGAGATTACCTGCTCTCCTTCTTAACCTATCCACCGGCCTTGCTTCTTGACCCACCGTCTTTCTTAAGTGTTTTCCTTTGTTTTTCCCTCCACGTTCTTTCCTCCACACGCAGCTCCCCCTTCTCCGTACTGGGAATAGATACCGAACTGCGGTATTACACGTGAACAAAGAGATTCCTTGTTTACCGCGTTCAGAGCAATGCCTAAGAGAATTGCAAACTTCCCAAGTCTCGGTCCAGCTTCTCGTCACCATCCCGGCGACAGGCTGACTTGGCTCTGGAGGACTCTGGGCAGTGTGTGTCCAGTCCAGTGACAGTACGGCCTGTGAAGTCTGTTCCCGGTGGCCTTTGTCCCGAGCAGACGTGGCGCCCAGCACGCTAAGCCTCCTGAAGGAGCGCAGTGGGGCTTCACCTCTGTGAAGTTCGCAACTTCAAACTCGAGGGCCGGTTTAGTATGTGTTCTATACAGTGCCCGCCCTGACGCCCTTGGGCTCAGTCACTTTACACGGAGGGAAGCTGAAAAACAAAATTTTAAGTCTCATGAAACCTGGATACCTAGACGGGAGAAATCCTGATGGGACTCTGAGATTCTGCAGCTGGTGGGAGGGGGTCCAGCTGGCTGAGGGCTGTGCAGGGCCCCCAGTGGCAGCCCACCTGCTGCCACCCACTGGAGCCACCGGGTCCTGCCGTGCCGGGCCTGCCTTCACCACAGCATGTCACTCCATGTGGGTTCCAGGTGGAGAATTGGAGAAACACCTTGCAGACCTGTGCACGCTCTCCTGCAGGCGTCTCTGGTGCTGGAGGTGGGGTCAGCAGTGACCTTACCTCCTCCGGGGGGTTCCCCTCTCAAACCTGCTCATAGCTTCGTGGACCGGACAGATCAGTGCTATGTTGGTATTGTCTGTGTCTTAGTCTCCTCGGGCTACTATAACAGACTCCTCGGGGCTGCCAGCAGCAGACCTTTATTTCTCACCAGGCTGGAGGTCAGGGTGCTGGCACGGTTGGGTTCTGGGCCTGTGGGTGCTGCCTTCTCCCTGTGTCCTCACGTGGTGGAGAGACAGGGAGGGACAGCAGACTCTGGGACGCTTCATATAAGGACACTGATCACGTGGACACCCTACACTCGTGACCTCATCTGCACCATCACATTGGGTTAGGGCTTCATGCGTGAATTTGGGGAAGACACAATTTTTAGCTCGTAGCAGCCCTAGATACAAAACTGCAAATGAGTGAATAAAAAAATTAGGCCTCACCAGGTGGTCAGACCGTAATTGTGGGTGACACAAGATGGTGGCCAGACTATAATTTTGGGAGGTTACCGACTGGCAAATCTGTTTGCTCCCCCAAATGTGAAAATGACCAAATTACTTTTTCCTCTAATGTGGTTCCATATCCTTTGGAAAAGTAACTTCTCTGTTTTCTTTTCTGTAACTTAGCGTCCTGTTGTTGCCAAGTAGGTCCTGTTGGTGTGTGGGTTGTTTTGTTTTTTGTTTTGTTTTTTAGATTTTAAGAGAGAACAAGCAGGGGAAGCAGCAGAGGGAGAGGGAGAAGCAGGCTCCCCGCTGAGCAGGGAGCCCGATGTGGGGCTCGATCCCAGGACCCTGGGATCATGACCTGAGCTGAAGGCAGATGCCTAACGACTGAGCCACGCAGGTGCCCCAACGTGTGTATTTCTATAACTTGGGTTTAAGAGCTGTTTCACTGTGGGCAGTGTTCCTGTGGGATCCTCGTCCCCAGGGTGTGTTTCCTGACAAGGTGTGAGTAAGGATCACCTGAAAGCATTTTCTAGCCATACTTGTCCGCCCCTTCTCAGACACAGTGGCCTAGAGGCTCATTTGCTGTTTAATGGCAAAGAACTAAAGAGTGAATTTGAACTGAGACCAAAAGATAGTTTTTGAAGACAGGATCATTCTAGATCCCACATGGATTATTAGTACTGAAGGTAGCATCTGAGCGTCATCGGGTTTTGGCAAGAGACAAACGTTCCGAAGGCCGGGGAGAAGAGCAGAGCACAGGCCCCGTGAACGTGCCATGCCAGGGTGCTCTTTGGACCCCAAAACAGGCCCAGATTCATCAGTCGTCCTGAAGGGTTGGTTTGAGGCCAGAAGGCCCGTGTGGCCGGTGCACTCCTGCTCCACACTCTGGGCTGAAAAGCAGGCCAGCCCCTGACCAGAGTGGATGGCATTGTGGTGGCCTTTGGGAAGATGCCATGGGGGGTACTCAAGAAATTTTAAAATAAATACAAGCAAGAAAATACCAATAGATACTGTTCTGTTTTTGGAGTCAGTAACTCCGCTAAACTTGAATTTTCACACTCATCAGTATAGTGGGATGGCTGCAAGTGAGGAGCCCGCAGATTACAAGACATCGACCTCGGTTTCTTTGTACTTACAATGTGGGGTCAGGGCTGCTGGGGGTAGGATAGCCCGCTCGTGTGGGAGCACTTGTGAGCCTGCTCATAGCCAGCCCTCAGTAAACTTCCGGTGTATTGCCGTCTGTTTCAGGGGGCGGAGGCCATGGTCCTGGAGAGCGTCATGTTTGCCATTCTCGCAGAGAGGTCGCTTGGGCCCAAGCTCTACGGCATCTTCCCCCAAGGCCGCCTGGAGCAGTTCATCCCGGTAAGGGGGGTTCTCGACTGGCCGGTTGACAGGTGCCACAGACAAAAGACGGATTCTTTGTCTTGGTCCTGTGGGAGCCTGAGATGTTGTGGGCTGACATAGTAAATGGGCCTTAGCGTTATGAAACTGTCTCAGAAATAAAGAAAAAATAGATTTCTATTGAATTTACATTAGAACCTCTGTCTTTCCTGCAAAGGTGTTCATCCAAATGAAAATATATATGAAACCTAACATTCCCTATTGTCCCCTAAAGCTGCTTGCCCTGAACCTTTCCCCTTTCCCCTTGTTCCTCTCAATTTCTGGACTGCCTTTAGAACTCCCTGCTGAGCCCCATGGCCCTGGCCACACCTGGGTCTTTGCCCTGTGGGACCGCCACTGCTCTCTGCCTTGTCTCCCCGCTCACTCCCTCTGCTTGAGTCTCCCCAGCTCCCAGGTACCTGTCAGCTTCCTCTGGCGTTCAGGGCCCAGCTCAAATCCAAGTCAGGACTGTGTGCCTTCTCTTGCTGTCCTGAGGCATTTCTAACGCTGCTGTCATAGCTTCAGCTGTGAGAGCACCTCAAGGACTGGGGTCACAAATGGGCTCACACCCTGCGTTGCGTGGCCACCTGTGTGTGCTGGGTTGCCCAGTACGGTCGGGCAGGTGGTTAAACACAGGACACCTGGCTGAAGGGATGCTCGACTTGCCAGGATTCAACCAGTGTTCAGCGGGAGGCTGGAGGAAGGGGTCCTAATCGTCTAATCTACTGCCCAGGGGTAGTCGCCTTCTTGGGACCTGGGTCCCGGGAGGGCTGCCCCCTGCTGGCTGGTGGTGGCCCTGTCTGTGCACCTGCCAGCCGGGAGCTGTGTGGAAACCCGCAACTAGACCCTCGCAGCAGACCTTCCGTCCCGCCCCGGCACCTGGCTCGCCACCTGGCGGTTTTTTCATTTATAACTGTCCCAGTGAAGACCAAAGCCTCCGACTGGCATGAGGATCAAATGAGATAATGAAGTGTCTGAAAGCATGGAAAATCGGAAATATTTTCTGTGGTTAGAAGTGGCGACGTCTTAAGGACACAACATTGAGTGAGAAAACCAGATCGTGGAAGCCTACACCTGGGATAGCACTTCAGTAAAGCCCACTGAAAGCAAAGTAAACACTGTTTAAAATGTACGTGTGTGGTAAGCCTTCTCTTTTCAGAGAAGGTGAAGGACCAGTGAGCACAAACCAGAGTAATCGGACTGTCCTGTCCTGGTTCAGGGTCCGTGGGTTGTAGCATCTGTGGGGTTGATACTGTGCTGGCTCTGAAATTCTAGCCTCTTCTGTGTATGATGTTTTGTATAGTGAAGATTTTTTGAAGTTCTGTTGAAGCGCTAGGTTGAACCACATGAAACTACCAGTCGTCAACTATGAGCCCAGAAACGGTGATTTCCCTTGGCTCAGCCTGCTGGAGTGCGTTATTCCCAGGTTACTCTTGAGCACCACGTGGGGTGGGATGGGTTCCACCTCGTCTGGTCCCCACAGCCGTTTTCCAGAGGGTACAGAGAGTAGTGACCTCCTAGGACCCTGGTCAGTCTCTGGGAAAGGAGCTTGGAACTCTGGAATACGTTCATCTTCGAGCACGGTTGGCCTTAGACTTTCCATGATGCCAAACGAAGTACTGGCATTTTTAAAAGCCCTGTGAAAGCTGAGTGAACTGTCACTAGAGCCGCGTCCCCTGTCCTTGGAGGTTTCCCGAGTGGAGGAGGCTGCGGCTGAGCCCGCCGGTGCCAGTCAGCTCCGAGCTCTCATCACCAGGCTCCCGCCATTTGTCGAGACCTCCCTGGCTGGGTGCCGGCCCAGGGCCCTTGCCTGCCTTGTCTGCTCTAGGTCAGAGCAGCCCCGCCAGGGACTCCATGTCGTGCTTCTCATTTTATGCAAGTCCGAAGGTCAGATGCAGAGGCCTGAGTAGCGAGCCTTTGGCCACGTGACTGTGAAGTGAGGATTACAGCCAGAATTGCAGCTGGGTTCTCTCCAACCCGCAGATGCCGCCCCCTCACCCCTGCGGCTGTGGCGCCTCTTTGGGCTTCTGCAGTGGGGCAGTGCGTGTGGGAAAGACAGATCTTGGCTGATGGTGATTTCCTCGGGAGGAGCTGGGCCCCTCGTGGCTTCGTTCTGCCGGGCGCCCTGAGAGCCTGCTCCGGGCCGGGTGGGGTGCTGCGGCCGCCGCGGAGGAGGGGGCGCGGCCCACCCTGAGCTCCTGGCCGTGCTCCAGAGGAGGACCTGTGCTGAGCACCACCTCTTGGCTGCGCGGGGTCAGCCCTGGGTGTCTGCGCCACTGAGGGAGTTGGACACAGGCTCATGCAGCCACCGTGAGACCCGGAGCCTTCCACGGGGTGCAGGGCGAGCCCTGGTGAGGGGGAGAGGGGCGAGGGGAGGGGGCGGGGTCTGCCGAAATGCTTACATGTGAGAAGGACCTTCTCACGGTTCAAAGGATTCAAAACAGAATTAGCCTGTGGGGCGTTGAGAAACGCTGAGAAACGATGTGGCAGTCACTGGGTCGCTGTCTGAGGGTGCGTCCTCGGGGAGGCCCGTGCGCCCCAGACAGACAGCGGTGCAACCGGCTGCTGGGTCTTAGCGGGTGGGGGGTGGATTGGGGATCGCACCCCTCCAAGCTCCCCGGAGAGGTGCTGTTTTCTGACTCCCTTGTTCCTTCCAGAGCCGGCGCTTAGACACTGAAGAATTAAGTGTGCCAGATATTTCTGCAGAAATAGCCGAGAAAATGGCTACGTTTCATGGTATGAAAATGCCATTCAATAAGGAACCAAAATGGCTTTTTGGAACAATGGAAAAGTAAGTGGTCAAACCGCTTGGCTCTAACTCAGTTTTTGGTTAGCGGCTGCCGGAGGTGCCAGAGTGAGTACGGGTTCACCCCGATGGCCCTCTGGTCCCCGAGTGGGCAGCCGGGCGGGAGATGAGCTTTCTGGAAAGCCTGCAGCCCCGGGCTCTGTCCCGCTGCCACGGCGGGGTTGGACTTGGCAGGAGCAGTGATTTTTGTTCTCCTTTCCCCTGCCAGGTACCTGAACCAGGTGCTGAGGATTACGTTCTCGGGGGAGCCCCGGCGGAGGCAGCTCCACCGCCTCCTGCGCTACAACCTGCCCCTGGAGCTGGAGCACCTGAGGTGAGCCCCGGGGAGGGTCGGGGGAGCTGTGGGGCTGGGGGTAGGGGCGCTGCGCGGTCTCTCTGAGCGCCCGACGGCGTCTCTCCCCTCCCTCCTGGGTGTGCATGGCGCTGGGGACATGGAGACCAGGACGGCCTTTGAGGTGCTTGTGTCTTATCAGGAGAGACAGAGACGAGCAAACGTGTCCCATAGCGTCCAGTTGTGATCAGAGGTGTGACGGAAGCGGGGGCTGGAGCCCACCAAGCAGGAGGGTCATGCTCTGGGTGGGGAGGGCCCGCGGGGCGGGAAGAGCTGGGTGTGCACGGGGGGGGGCTGCTGTGGCGCCCCAGGCTGAGCTGCGGCCAGGGGACGGCAGCGCGCTCAGAGCTCACGGTGACGGTGCCGTGGGGAGGCCGCACCAGGGAGGCTGCACGGTGGTGCCGAGCGCCAGTCCGGTCCCGGGCGTGGCGGCGTCTGACCCGAGATGTGATTCCCTCTCCAGGTCGCTACTCGAGTCCACCCCTTCTCCAGTTGTGTTTTGTCATAATGACTGCCAGGAAGGTAAGAACTGCTGCTGTTCCGTGAGGCCGGGTGTGTGCGTGTCCTTGGAAGCGGCCTCCAGCGTGTGTGACGAATGCCAGGTGTCTGTGCGGAGGGGCGTACATGCGTGAAATAATGAGACAGCCACCTGGCAGAGTGTTGTAGAGCTACGAAAAAGGAGGTCAAGTTTTTATGCAGACCAACAGGAAAATCACCAGGATCTATGAAGAGAAAAAAAGCAAGTTTTAGAAAAATACATGGGGTGTTCTCCCATTTTTGTAAAAAATGTATACAGAGAAGAGAAAATGAGAACATTCACTAAACTGGGAGCTTGGCCAAAGGACCGAAGCCTCCTGAGTCACATGTGTTCAGTATGTGACTCTGGTGAACATGTGACTTTGATCGTCAGAGAACGCAGTAAGAGGTGACTGCCCCGCTCAGTGCTGGGGGCCTTGCGCTGGCCGCACCTCGCAGGTGCCTGAGGCCGCCTGCTCTCCTGGGATCAGGTCACTCCCGGGACCTTGGGTTTCTGTGCCTTCCCTAAGGTAGGAGGCCGGGTGCTCTCCGTGTGACGTCAGACGGAGGCCCCACCTAGCTGGGCTAGCTCCCGCCGGTGCTGCAGGCTGGGCTTTGGGGAGGCTCTGCCTTGCTCTCGCTGTGCTCTCCATTGCAGCTGGCTCACGTCCCCTGTCGGCCCTTTTCCGGGCTTAGCAGTTTGTTTTTAATTTTGACGACAGTCCCTGTTAAAGACCAGTCATCACTCAGACATTAGTGCGATAGGTTACTTTATTAATTAGCTGATCATTGTTGACCAAGTCGAGTGGGGCGTAAATGTGCGTTAGCAGGTGATAGCCAGCTGCACAGATGTCACCAGAGGGGTCTGAAGGAGGTCTGCTGGCCAGTGAGAGGCTAGATGAGGCGGGGCTTGTACATTTACTTTGTTCTGCTGCTCTGGGCGTCTCCTTTTAATGGCCCCTGGACACAGAAGCTGTGTGCAGAAAAGCCTAGAAAGAGCGCCTCCTGCAGAAACCCGGAAAGGGCACGGCCAAAACACTAGCAAAACCTGGCTCACTGGTGCCTACACGCCAGCCGGTAGTGACAGATGCCCGATGCTGCGGCGAGTGTTGGGGGTCTGGCCGCCCGTTCACTTGGGGCCCAGAATCGAGCCTTACAGGGAATATGGTGGCAGGAACGCTGCCTGTGGCCTCCTCCTCGGAGAACCAAGTGAGGCAAAGCAGCGGGACCAAGTAGGGCCCATGGAGCCCTGCAGAGGCTCAGCGCCATGGCATCCTCATGAGGGAGGACAGCGGGACGCAGCTTCCTCGCTGCTGGGGGGCTGGGTTGGCTGGAACCCCAGCATGCTACAAGGCATTTTCCTTCGTGCCCCTGTGTGGAAGGTCTGGGGGTTGCTGCCCCAACAAGCCGTTCTTGTTCCCGGGCAAGCGCGGGGCCACGTTGCCTTTGGGCTGCTGTGAACAGGGGCCCTTGTGTCTGCGTGACCCTGGGCCTTCTGCCGAGGGCCTGGCCTTGGGAGGCTGTGCTGCTCCCGGCGCTCCGCGCCTGCACCCCCTCACTGTGTGGCCAGGGTTCCCTGACAGGATCACAACCACGCTTGGCCTTTCTGCTCAAGGACTTGCGCCTTCCACTGTCCACCACGCCCACAGTAAATGGCATGTCGTCCAAACCCTTTTGCAGGTAATATCTTAATGCTGGAGGGCAGAGAGAATTCCGAAAAGCAGAGACTGATGCTCATCGACTTCGAGTACAGCAGTTATAATTACAGGTGTGCGGCAGCCCCGGGAGGAGGTCGGCAGCCAGGCCCCCCGGCCCCGGGAGTCGCGCACTGTCCCGGCAGCCTGCGGCGGCCCAGGAAGCAGCCGGGCCTGTTCTGGGCGGGTGCGGGGCAGGCAGTGGTGACTGATCCGAATGCGGAATCTGGCGTTTGTCGGCTTCAGAGATGAGAGTACTGATCTTCTGCAGCCTCTGCCCGCGCTGGTTCTGCGACTATCCCGTGGCCTCTCCCTGTCCCTGAGGCAGTTGTCCCTGGGGGGGTCCTCAGGAAGGGCCGCTTGTTGCTGGGGGGCTGCTCACGACTCGGCCTTTTCCCTTCTCAGACCAGGGAGCCTGGTGGCTGGCAGTTTGCCCCCCTCTCTGCAGCTGCTCTTGCCTCTTTTTCAGGGGATTCGACATCGGGAATCATTTCTGCGAATGGATGTACGACTATAACTACGAAAAGTACCCGTTCTTCAGAGCAAACATCCTGAAGTACCCCACCCAGAAACAACAGGTGGGGGCGGCTGAGTGCGGGCTCAGCGCTGAACTGCAGGAGCCCGTTTTCTGCAGTTAGCATTGGTTGCATCTTTGTTTGTTTGTTTTTTAAAGATTTTATTTATTTATTTGTCAGAGAGTGCGCGAGCACAGGCAGACAGAGCGGCAGGCAGAGGCAGAGGGAGAAGCAGGCTCCCTGCCAAGCAAGGAGCCTGATGCGGGACTCGATCCCAGGACACCGGGATCATGACCCGAGCCGAAGGCAGCTGCCCAACCCACTGAGCCACCTAGGCATCCCTGCATCCTTGTTTTTAGTGACACCCCCCCCCCTTTTTGTTTTTAAGATTTTGTTTATTTGAGAGAGAGAGCGAGAGAGCACGCACAAGCAGCGGGGAGAGGGAGAAGCAGGCTCCCCACCGAGCAGTGAGCCTGATGTGGGTCTGGATCTCAGGACCCTGGGATCATGACCTGAGCCTAAGGCAGACACTTAGTAACTGAGCCACCCAGGTGCCCCTCATGGCACGCCTTTTAAATTTAAGAATGGTTATGCAAACCCTGTGGTTCTAAAATGTTACTTTGTGTCAGGACACAAACTTGACATTTTTATCCCTGTGCCAGAGAGAACCTGTGTTCATGCCGTTGGAGAGCACAGTCTGTAGCTCCTCCTGGCTTTTTGTAAAAAGCCCGGCCTCTGATCTGCCTCCTGGCCTCCTTCGTGGGGATCTCAGTGCTTCTGGTGTTTCCTGTGCGTGTTTCACTCTGTGTAGACAGAAGTGGTCTTTTGGGCACTGGGACTTAGTAGCTGCTGTGCTGTTACAGTTCCCTTTCCTGTCCTGAGTATGGGGAGCAGGGGCTGTGTGAAGAATCACCCCATGAGGGGCACGCCTGGGAGTCCCAGGGTCCTGGGATCGAGCCCCATGTTGGACTCCCTGCTCAGCGGGGCGTCTGCTTCTCCCTCTCCCTCTGCTTCTCCTCATCCCACTTGTTCTCTCTCTGAAATATATAAAGTCTTTAAAAAAAAGAAAAAGAAAGAAGTCACCCTGTGGGAAGTTCCTCCTTGGGATCCCCCTGCTCCACTCCTCAGCTGCCGTTGGAGCCGTGGGTTGACAGTGAGTGAGCAGCGATGTGGAAGCAGGCTGCGCTGGAGAGAGGGTATCCCGAGCCTGCGCAGGGCAGCTGCCCACCCCCTTTGCAATGGCAGCTACAGGACAGCCCCTCCCGTGGAGCCCCTGCCAGCTCGGCCGTGTTTCCGAGAGGTCAGAGAGGCATGGGGGCAGGGGTGTGATGGGTTGCTGAACTTCACTCGGGAGAGGTCTCTTGAGCACAGGCGTGTGCCAGGCACGGTGATCCTGTCTTCAGCAGGTCGGCCTCCTCCTGCCGCACGCTGGGGCCGACTGACCAGCTTGAGTATGTCCCAAGCCTCCAGGTCACACGTGGGGGGAGGAGGAGACCCAGCAGCAGTCTTTGTAAAAGCCTTTGTGAACGCTGGGCAGCCCCAGAGGTGCCACTCTCCAGCCAGGAGTGGGGGGGCGGTTCTGCCGGTGAGAAGGCAGGTTCCGTGGCGATGGGCGGCAGAGCCGTGTGGGCGCCCGCATCACACAGCCATGGAAATCCAGTTCCATTTCGGTTTTCTGAGGAGCTTTACAAGTGACGGAGAGCTGCTGCTTTTCATTTCCTACCCTTTCTGCGCCCAGTAGGTAATCTCGTGCTTTTCTCTCTTTAGTCCACTAAAGAGAAGTTGTAAAATGTTAAACTTTTGTCTTGGAATTCCTAAAATAAAGCATCCAAATGAGGTGTGTCATTTCGGAAAGCTCTGCTGGGCTCTGTTAGTCTCTTGCTTGGGAGTTTTTGATCCATGCACATACATGAAACAGGCTTTAGTGGCCATTTAAAAAAATTACTATTTATATCTGGTTTGGAGTGAAAATTATACTGGTCGGATAACATGAGTTTGGTGTCCCTTTGTAATTTTCTGGACCAAACTTAGATGAAATGATGTTCTTCGAAAATTTGGTAGACTTTGTAAGAAAGCGCGGGCCTGTTTTGTCAGTCGCTCTCAAAGCAGGGCTCTTGAACTGTGGCCTAGAACTTCAGGTGAGGGGAGGCCACCAGTTACTGTTTCTTAGGGTATCGACCTTTTCAGATTTTCTGTCTTCATTGGCCAATTGAGCATTTAGTATCCCAGAAATTAACCCAGCTCGTGTGGCGGTTCAGGCGTGGGTTTTAAAAATGGTGCTTGGATTTGAACCCAGATCTGCCAGTGTTCACTGTCCCCTGCTGACGCCGTGTGCTTCCATTTCCTCGTGTGCAGAAACAAACGCTCAGGACGGTGGCTGCTACCTAGACTTGAACAGGCCTGGGCCATCCCCTTGCCTGGGCCGGGGTTACTTCTTCCAGAACACCCTGTGAGGACAGCGCTCAGACTGGAACACTGCTCTCTGGGGGGAGGGGGTGCCGAGGGTGAGAGCTGCCTAGGAGAGGGCAGATGGGCGAGGTGGTGGCAGGCAGTGTGGCGGTCCAACGAGGTGATCGGTTAATGCGCTTTTCTGGGTAGAGCCACTGCCTGCTGTTTCCTTCGGTATAAAAGAAAGTGAGTGGTGATTTGCTCTGTTCTGGTGCCATTACGTATAGTGCGAGGTCGGGGGGGCGGGGGTCTCCTAAATCCGGATTCGCGGGCCGGCTACGCGTGGGACCTGGTAGCACCTCTTCTCCAAACCAGAGTTAGACCTTCCCAGTTTACGGACACACACGTGTCACCCCGGCATCTCGGAGGTGGAAGGCCCCGTGGCGTGGTCTGGTCGGCTCCGCTCTGCTGGCGCATCTGCCGGGGACCTCGGGCTGCGAGGGAGTGGCTGTGCACCATGCCAGCCCGTCCGCGGAGATGCATGATACAGGCTTACCCTGCTTAGCGACCAGGCCGTGGGAAACGGTTGTGGAGTCAATTCCACCTGGGTGATTTTGTCCAGAAGTAGTCTTGGTTTCCTCTGCTTGACTTGCTGACAGTGCAGCGAGTCTGGTAGGGCTCTGCCAGGAAGCTGGAGATCGCTGCCCCCCACAAGCGAGCTTCCGTGCTCCCACCGGGCACCGAGCTCCTCCGGGCTCCGCCGGCCCTGCGGGGGTCCGCTGGTGCGTCGTGCTTCCTGAAACGACTTCCTGACAGCTGCTGACACCGTCTGTCTCGCCGTCACTGACTCTAATGTGATTTCTTTTTTTTTAAAGCTCCATTTTATTTCCAATTACTTGGCTGCATTCCATAATGAATTTGAAAACCTCAGTAATGAAGAAAAGTCCATTATAGAAGAAGAAATGTTGCTTGAAGTCAATAGGTAATTTTTTTTTTTTTGTTAATTTATAAAATAGCTGTGTGTTTACAGACTATAGTCAGGGTGCCAGCCTGCAGTCATGAGTATTTTAGGAGCTTCTTTATACCCATACGTTTCCGGGACTCATACTCTGTCAAAAACTGCTCATCTGGCACCTCTCCAGATGTCCGCACGCAGCAGGTGCGGAGAGCGGGGTCAGGGTACAGGGTCGGGCACGTGGGTGGCGCTCTGCGCTCTAAGCCACATGCCGCAGGACTGTACAAGGCAGTGCCGCCTGCGGCCTGGGCCCTCTTGTCGCTTGGTGCTTGTCGGGCGGTGGGTGCCATCCAGAAATGTGTTTCTTTTAAAAACTAATTACAAATTGTGAGTGTTGGTTTTGAGTCTTGCTCTTAAAGTGTTTAGTCAGTAGCTCTCAAAGCAGGGCTGAGAAACTTCTGGATTTTGTGAAAGTCTTTGATAAAAATGTTTAAGTGCCTTTGGCCCCCCCCTTGTCCTGTCCAGCCCACTTGCCACAGATCACCTCTTCCTGAAGTGTCCACAACCCTGTTGCCGGGCATGTGGCCACCCTCGCTGTCCCGGGACTCCCCCTGCTGCCTAGATCTTCCCTCTCTAGTTCTAGCATGGATGGAAATAGAAAAATTGAGGAGACCCCAACAGAAGGGGTAGCCCAAGGCACGTGTAGGGGATTGGGGACCACAAGAGAAACCGTTGGGTTTGAGGAGAACACTGAAGCGTTCAGGGAAGCCCACAGGCACGTCGTGAGGGGAACTTGGGTTCGCGGCAATGGGGGCCATGGCACGGCATAGAGATGGGGACCGCCAGGCTCCCCTCTGCTCTGTTTCACTGCTGTGCAAGGGCAGGGGTGAGGGCGAGGTGGCATCCTACCTCCGGAAAGTCAGCGAGTCACCAGAGGCCTGCACGTTCTCCTCTCACTGTACGATGCCTGCAGGGTTGCTGATGCCCCGTGCTCACACCTGAAGCAGAGTTTCTTTCCCAGCATAGCGCACGCACCGCCTGCATGGCTTCCCGGCCTCCGTGTGAGTCCCGGGACGGTAGCCGTGCGCCAGGGACGGCTGCTGGGAGTGTCCACACTGCAAGTCCACCTGTCCCCAGCCGGAGGAGGAAGAGGCCAGCTGTGGTGCCCCCAGCCTGTTCTCCATCCCCGGGGACTAGAATCCTGTTGAGTGGGCCAGGGCTGACTAGGTTTGCGCCCCAGTGAGTTGCGGGGCCCGCTAGCAGGAAATCCCATCCCTGGGCCTGTGGCCGGTGCCACACATCTCACGTGCGTCTCCTGCTTTTGTAATTACAGGTTTGCCCTTGCATCCCATTTCTTCTGGGGACTTTGGTCCATCGTGCAGGCCAAGATTTCATCCATTGAATTTGGATACATGGTATGTTCTTCGATTCCCGGAAACAAAATTGTTCCCCGTGTTTTGAGCGCTGGCGGGGGAACGCACGGTCGTCTTCACAGAGGGCTGCCCGTGTCGCCGCACAGTGAACCCACCTTGGCTCCGTGTGTGCCATTGGAGGTGGCCTCACTCGCAGGGCAGCAGGCCCACCTCCCCTGCTTCAGAGAGCTGCTGTGCGGCCTTGTGGCTCCGATGGAGGATGTAGAAATCAGATCCTAGCATGTAGCCCTTGACCTCCGTCCCTTCTGGCGCAAGGGGCTGCGGGTGTGGGAGTGCCCTGATGTGTTCTGCGGCTCCGCTCCTGGGCCTGCAGCGCCCCGCTTCGAGCCAGCAGCCGGTGCTGACCGGCAGAGCCGTCCTGTTTGCTGCAGGCAGATGTGACAAGACAGGCTGTCATCTTCTTCCAGCCTTGGAAACTGTCCTTGACATAGACAGTTTTAGCTGCGAGTCCAGCCTTCTGCTGCCCCCATTAAGGAGTGTTGGTGGCGTGTCCTGTGGTGGGGGCACCGTCTGTGGCAAGCACCCGGCTTTAGGAAGGTGGAGGGAATGACGAGCTCATTTCATCCTCCCAGTCCTGTGTTAAGCTGATTTCTGCTTCCAGGTGGATGGTTTGGTAACACACAGATGCTGTTTGGCCAAAGAAGGGGGAATAAGGAATTTTAAAGCAGATGTAGAGCCATGGTTAAATGATGTTGTTAAGACAAAGTACAGGGGCACCTTGGGTGGCTCAGTGGGTTAAGCCTCTGCCTTCGGCTCAGGTCATGATCTCAGGGTCCTGGGATCGAGCCCCGCTTCGGGCTCTCTGCTCAGCGGGGAGCCTGCTTCCCCCTCTCTCTCTGCCTGACTCTGTGCCTACTTGTGATCTGTCAAGTAAATAAATAAAATCTTTTTAAAAATGTTTTAAAAAAAGACAAAGTACACATCAAAAATATTACCAAAGCAAGGAATAATTTCATAATAATAAAGGGATCAATGAATCCAGAAGATACTAAAAAAAAAAAAATCCTAAAGGTGTACATACCTGTCTTGCCTCAAAAGACCTAAAGCAAAACCTGAGAAAACAGCAGCGGGAGGGATGGAGGAGGGGACCGCACTCTCGCCCAGCCTGATGTATCAAGCGCCCAGCTGCTGCGTGTATGTCCTTGCCCATGAATATGGCACATTCATCAAGATAGACCGTATGCTGGGCATTGGGAAGCAGGTCTCAAGCTGGAAAGGACTGAACCACAGAGGATATTCTCTGACCACGGGGGAATTAGGAAAGCAACAACAAAATCTTGAAAATTCCTAATTATTTGGAAATTAAGTAGTACACCTACGTAAACCCCAGATCAAAGAAGAAATGAAATAGAAGCTATTTTGAACAAATTATAATGAAAACACAGTATATCAGAATTTGTGGGATACGGTTAAAGCAGGTTTCAAAAATTTGCGGCTTTGAAGGTTATACATTTGTATTAGATAAGGAAGTTCTCAAATCAGTGACTAAAGCTTTTGCCTTAAGCTAGAAAAAGAAAAACCAACCTAAGGCCGAAGTTGGTAGAACTAGGTACAGGAGGGGAGCCTCGCTGGCTCAGTCGGTGGAACATGTGACTCTTGATCTCAGGGTCGTGAGTTCAAGCCCCACATTAGGAGTGGAGCCTGCTTTTAAAAAATAAAGAACTAAATAAAGCTAAAAGCAGAAATCCTTGAAATAGGAAATGCGTGGGCAAAAGGAAAGAATCGGTGAAACCAAAAGTTCGTTCTTCGAAGAGCTCAATACAATTTACAAACTTTTGGCTATACTGAGCAACCAAGAATGAAAAGACACACATGACCAGGCTCAGTACAAGGGGAAGACCTCGCTCTGGAGCCTACGAACGGTAAAAGGGTAAGAGAATATTATGAATAATTTTATGCCAGCGGATTTGATAGAGTGCGTGAAATGTGCACATTTCTTGGAAGATACAAATGACAAAAATTAACCTAACACATGGTCATGTGGTTATTGAATGAACTGAATTCATACTCCAAAAACTTCCCTGTAGAATAAAGTGCTGGTCCTGGTGAATATCGTCAAACACTTAAGGAAGAAATCATACTGGTTCTGCACAGAGTTTTAGAAACTAAAGACTCATTCGATGAAGCATTGCCCTGATGCTGAAAGGAGACAAAGACATTTCAAGAAAACGGAAGATCAGTGGCCTTCATGAACAGGACAGAAAAAGCATTATCAAAATATTAGCAGGAATTAAAGGTGACATTTACAAGAAGATAATGTGATCAAGTAGCATGTATCTCCGGAATGCAAGGGTTAACAATTTAACATTTTAAAAACCTGTTCGTGTAATTCAGCGTGTTAACAGAATGAAGGAGAAAAACCATATTCTCAGTGAATGCAGGAAAAGCATTTGACAAAATCCAGTACCCATTCACACACACACACAAAAGCCTCCGTAAAGTAGGAATGCAAGGGTCCTTCCTCAGCCAGGCACAGGGCACATATGAAAACCTACAGCTGGTATCGGGAGAGCTGGCGTGCTCCTGGTCACCAGAGCCCTAGAGTGAGAGCAAGGCAGGCGCACCCCTCCTATGACCCGCACCCCCCGGGCCCCGGAGCACCTAACTAGCATAGTAAGGCCAGGAAAAGAGATGAAATGCAAAAATACAGGAAAGGAAGTAGAAAAACTGCCTTTATATTGTTGATGACATGATCAAATACATGAGAAAATAGGAAAGAATCAACAGAAACGCCATTTAAGCTGTGGGGTGAGTTTACGGGGGTCACAGGGTACAAGGGCAGTGCTCGATGATAACCAGCTTTATTGTACACGGGAGAAACAGTCACAAATGAAATGTCGTTGGGTTTACAGTGGTATAAAAACATGAAATACTGGGGTGCCTGGGTGGCTCAGTGAGTTAAAGCCTCTGCCTTCGGCTCAGGTCATGATCCCAGGGTCCTGGGATCGAGCCCCACATCGGGCTCTCTGCTCAGCGGGGAGCCTGCTTCTTCCCCTCTCTCTGCCTGCCTCTCCGCCTACTTGTGATCTCTCTCTGTCAAATAAATAAATAAATCTTAAAAACCATGAAATACTTAGGGATGAGATTTTTAATATATGTGCCTGATCTTCACACTGAGAAGTGTAAGACATCGCTAAAATAAATGGACAGCAAGACCACATTTATGGCTTCAGAAGACTCCATATTAAGAGTCTGTTCTCCCCAAACTGATTTCCACAGTCTCCATGATCCCAGTCAGAATCTCCACAGGCTTTTTGGCAGAAAATGCTAAGTTCTAAAATATGTGTGACTAAAACAGTGTCGGAGGACTGATTGTGCCCGATTTCACGATGTATGGAGACAGGCATTGGTGTAAAGGCAAGTATCCGATGCCCCAAAGCACACTAACACACACGGCCCGCTGACCTGCCACGGAAGGGCCACGCTAATTCATCGGGGAAGGGATTCGATTTTCAAAGCTGACGTGGGAACAGCTAAAAAGCCACCTGGGGAAAAGTAATGAACCTTGATCTTCTGCCATACACACAAATGAACTTGAAATGATAACAGACCTAAGTGTACAAGCATCTGGAAAGCAAAGAAGAAAAGCTTTGTGACCACGACAGAGATTTCTTGGGTTACGTGAAGCACTGACCATAAATGAGAAAAGATCCGGTAAGTTGGGCTTAATCAAAATGAAAAACTTGTGCTTTATGAATGACACCATTAAGAAAAGAAAAAGGCAAGCACAGAGTTGGAGAAAACGTTGCCAGTCTCTAACAAGGACTCGTATCTAGAATGCATAAAGAGCTCACAACTTAGCAGGAAACCAGACGCGCTACTGTATAACAGGCAGAAGATTCGAACACATCACAGAAGATAAAGGAATGACCAGTAAACACCTCTCGGTCTGACTAATGTCATTGGTCGTACACAAAATGCAAATTAAATCCCCAGTGAGCTACGCTGCACACCTGTGATGGCTCAGACCGAGGACCCCGACGGTACCCAGTGTGGGCAACGACCTGAGCAGCGGGCACTCGCGTGTGTTGCTGAGGGGGAGGTAGAAGGTCTGACCCGCCTGGAAGACGGCCTGACGGTACACGTGGCGGGCAGCCCGGCAGCCGCCTGCTTCGGTTCTGACCCGAAAGAAGCGAAAGCCCGTTCCCACACCGCGCGCGGCACTCGGGTGCACACGGCAGCTTTCTGTTCAGTTGCCCTGACCTGGAAAGCGCCTGCCTGCCGGTCAGGTGAGTGGGTATTTGTGCTGTCATGAGCCATCAGACAAGTGCTCCGCGGGAAACGGGAGCGAACCCCGGACCCTCACAGCAGCGTGGAGGAGTCCCGGAAACGGACTGAGTAAGACAAGCCAGACACGGAGTCAGCCCACGCCGGGTGAGTCCACTTAGGGGAAAGCTGTCTGCGGCGATCGGGGATGGAAACCAGGTCAGAGGCTGCCTGAGGCCGCGCGCCAGGACCCACGGAAGCCGAGCGTGCTGGGGGGCCTCCGGCAGGATGCCGGAGCTGAGCTCCGTGGACGCATTTGTGAAAAACGCCCGGCTCCGCGAAGGGGATCGTTTTTGTGGTCAGCAAGTTACACCCCGATGCAGAGTTTGCGGCAGCGATGCTGTAACCTTCCTGGCAGTCCTTTCCATCCCGAGTGGGTGGCTTCAGAGGCTGCGCTGTCCACCCTGAGGGATGGGGGCGGGAGCAGACCGGGAGATGCCCGGGGGCTGGACGATTCTTGCGCAGACAGGACTCGGGACCAGTGTTTCTGCCGTCCCTTTCGGGCCCTGTGCCGTAATCCTGCGGGTGATCCCAGAAAGCTGGGGTACCTTCTTTCTCGCACCTCCGCTCTGTACTTGCTGGCTCAGCCCTGGGGACCTGCTGCTTTGAGAGAAGAGCCTGCATTGGAGTCTGTGCCCGCAACCTTCAGTGTAAACAAGAGGGTGAAGCTGGGCAGCGCCAGCCGTGTAGACAGAAGGCCCACCCTGGTTGCCATACCGGGGTGGCCGGGGTGCCTGAGCTAGGTGTCTGGGCTCCTGATGGCCTGCGGAGCCGGAGCCACTCTGTTCTGTGCCCTCGGTGGTGGCGGGTGCACAGGCCTGGGTGGGACCTGGGCGGCCTTGGGTGGGAGTCCTTGGTGAGACTGCTCTTTGTTGTGTCTCCTAGGACTATGCCCAAGCAAGGTTCGATGCCTACTTCGACCAGAAGAGGAAGCTCGGGGTGTGAGCGTGGAGGCGCCATCCACTTCATCCCTGGACTGCGTGGGGGCGGCCGAGCCAGCGGGGCCTTCCGTGCTCCAACAGCTGTCGCCGCGGCAAGCTTGGATGGCTCGCAGCCGGACGCAGATGTGTATGATACGAAAGACTGTATTAAAATTGAGTAACATTTATATCCTGTCTTGTTCACGATTTCACTAGGACCCTGCAGTGAGATCGGGAGGCAGGAACATAGTACAGCAGTGCAATACCTCCGAGTCTAGAGAAGGCAGCTTCTGTCGGGGCCCGGAGCTCGCGGCCAGCTGCGGCAGACAGCACGAGCAAACAGTGTTTCTGCGGGTACTTTTTTTGGTTAATGTCAGTTTTTCAAGGGTTTGAATTCACGTGCTGGGGCACGCTGTGACCAGGCCCTCGGTAGTTGACAACATATGTAGACGCCGCCGGCTCCCGAGGGCGGTGAGCGAGTCGGGACAGACTGTGACATTGCTTTGCGGCCTGGCCGACCGCGAGTCCCCCAAAGCTGCTTCCTCACCCTTCTGGTCCCCATGGCGGAGGCTTGAGGCCGCAGACCCCGTGTGGGGGGCCGGCCGTTGGCTCCGTCCAATGAATGTAGCTCCTTGGGGCTGTTGTACACACTTCGTCCCGCAGCCTCTGCCCCACCCTTCTCAACCGAATGTGCTTTACTAACCCCAGTCTCCGGCCGGCGGGAGCTGTGGCCATGGAGGCCCGGCCGCTGGCTGAGGGGCGGTGCGGGCACCCACGGACACACTCGCCTCCCGCCTACCCTCCCCCAAAAACGCAGCCTTCACTCTGCTCTCTGCGGCCTTTCCTCTTCCTCCTCTGCTCAGCCCCGGCTTGCGGACTCTCTGCCAGGGCTGGTGCACCCGGCGGGGAGAGGGCGGCCTGGCCTGGGCTCTTGTCCGGCTCCCCCTGCCCTCCCTGCTCCCGCTGTCCCTGACGGGGTCCTCCTGATGGGGACGAGCAGCTGTATGGGAAGGTGGGGGTTCCCTGGAGCTGTGAAACCGCATATATTCAATATCCTTGGGGATAGGGGTTTCTACTCTGAGCTCTTACTCAAATTGCCGTTGCCGTTTCTGCTACCAGAGATTGTAGCATACAAACAATAAAACCGTATGAATCCCGTCCTCAGTGTCCTCCTTGGGTGTGTCCTAAAGCCCAGGCAGGGCTCCTGTTACCTGGTCATGCTGGTGGAGGGCTCCTGGCCAGTCCTCTCAACTCTCCACCCTCCCTCCCACAGAGACCCCTGGAAGCACGGAGAAGCAACTGGGAGCTGTGGGATTTGCTGGTAGAAACTGGAAGGCTGGCTTGGTCAAGGCAGGAGGAAGATTTCCCTTCCAGACATTTAAAAGTTTAGCCAGGTGAATGTTTGTTGGTATCCAAGCAATGAAACTGAGCAGTAAATGATACCACCCTCCCGTGTAAGGGGGATGCTTACCCCCACTCCTCCCTGTGACATCCCGAGGCCCTGAGCAGGGCAGCCCTGGCCCTGGGGGATGGGCTTCCCCCAGCAGCTGGCCAAATGAGAGCCACTGCGATGGCGATGCCCGGCTTGCCCTGCCCGGGCAGCTCTGGCCTCAAAGCAGCCTTTGTTCCTGAGGCCTCCTGCCGGAAAAGCCACTTTGCGGCTCCTCACCCCAGGACGGAAGGCCTCTGGGAAGCACAGGCTCCACCTCCCAGCCGGCGGTGGGACCCAGGCCAGAAAGACATGCACAATGCCACACTCCAGCCCCCTAGCCGAAGGAGCAGGACTGGTCACCCAGGGAGAGTTGGGAGAGACCGTGGCCTTCACCGAAGGGGCGGCAGGACCCAGAGTCCAGCTCAGCCCTCTTCCTGACACTCCGAGCCCTGGACAATGGGGCTGCCTGCACAGCCTCTGCTCTTTTCTGCAGGATGGGGTGTGTGTTTCTCTCTCCACTGCTGGGTCAGGCTCTGGAGTCCCAGGCTGCTCCCTGCCCCCTGGGGTGGGGCTGGCGCCAGGGCAGCCCATCATGCCGGGCACCACCCTTCATGCCCAGAGTATCCCGAACGTTCTCACGGTCAGTTTGCACTTCCCCAGGGATGGGGAGCTCACCCGCTCTGGCTCAGCCTGGGAAGACCCTCATCCCGAACTAGAATGTGCTGGAAACAGCCCTCCTTGGTCCTAGGTCTGCCCCCACTTCAGCCCAAGGCTTTGGGACTTCTGCAGATGAGCTCATGGGGCCTCTCCCCAACTTCTCAAGGGCCCAGGTCCTAGACCAGGGCCTCCCACCCCACTGCACCCTATACCAAGCTCAGTCTGGGATAGCATACAGAAGAGGGGCATAATACAGCCAGGAACGGAGTCCAGAACACCAAGAGTCTTACGAGATGTGACCAGTCTATGCCCAGAGCCCAGGCCCTGCCACCCCAGCCTTAGCAGCCCCTGGCATTGCAGACGGGACCAAGACACAGTTCGTCGTTCATCTTTATTTCTGGTCTCTGCAGGCAAGGGGAGGGACCTGGGCGTGGCCACAGGTGGGCTCTAGTCCTCCTCCCCAGCGAAGGTGAAGGGGCTCAGCTTGTAGCCACTGCCTAAGTAGAACTTGTTCTGGAATTCCACCCTGGGGGTGACAAGGGGACAGCTGGTGAGGGGCAGGCCCCCAGGCCTCATGCTGCCCGGGGCCAGCCAGGCGGGCCACTCACCAGTGCAGCCGCAGTGCGTGCAGGAAGGCCGAGAGCCCCTCCATCACCAGCAGGATGGCCACAGTCAACACGGCGAAGGCGGCGAAGACGGGGACCAGCACCACAGCCGCCACACCCAGCTCCCGGCCCATGTGCAGGCCCACACGCATCACCATGGCCCACAGGACCTCCGACAGCTCTGGGGGGCAGGGAGGTAGCTGTGGAGCCCAGGGCCCAGGGGGTGCCCACCCGGCCCCCGTGGCAGCCTGAAGCACCCTTCCCCCTCTGCCCCGGCCCCGTTCCCGGGACCTTCTCCGACATCCTCCCTTTACAGAGGGGATGCTGAAAAGTGACCCACCAGGCCACCCCGCCAGTAGCTATGAGTGTCAGGTGCAGCTGGGACCCGACCCACGGCCAGTCCGCCCGCTGGGGCCCTCTTGCTCACGGGCATGGGCCAGACTCAGGGCCCAGAGGCGCAGGTAGGACGCCGTGTTGGAGATGCAGCCCAGGCAGAACTCGATGGTGTGGATGGCCTGGTGCATGAGCACCTCAGACAGGACGAACTGGGGGGCGGCGGACAGTGAGGGGCCAGCCGGGCTGGCTGCCACACCCACCCCACACTCAGGAAGACCACACCCACCTCGGCCTCCTCTCTGTCCCCGGGGCACCCCACTTTCTCCTCATCAGAGCCCCAGCCGGCCACGGAGGCGTCGGAGGAGTCCAGAATCCCCACCTTGTCGTCATTCTGGGGGCGGGGGGGGCAACATCAGCAGGTCCCCCTCCCCCAGGAGGCTGAGAGGCAGCGAGGGCAGGGTCAAGCCTCCCATCAGCCTTCATGCCCTGCCCCCACCCCGCACCCCTGCCCCGAGCCTCTACCGGCTGGCGGCCAGCGGGCCTGGGCGAGCGGCGGCGGTGCTGCCAGTATAGGAACAAGGGTGTGCCGAGCAGCAGGATGGGCACAGTGGCCAGGGCCAGGACCACCAGTGTAGACTGCACCACCTCCTGTTGGGGAGGGAGCAGGGCTTGAGTCAGGGTGGCCTCTGAAAGCCACGCACCCAGCTTGGGGGGGTGGGAAGAGAGCCTGCAGCCCACTCCTCCTCACCCCCAGACCCCTCACTAAGCCGGGACACCGCGCTGTGAGGAATCCTTCCGGGGAAGAAGGGCACCCACGGCCCCACGCCCGCACCCTGCTTCTCAGAGGAGGAGCCCGCTGCTCAGAGTGGCCCCCCGGCCCCGGCTCACCTGGGCAGGGAAGAGGTCTTTGTTGGTGGGGCTGCGGGAGAAGAGGAACATGTTGATGAAGTGGATGAGGATGCTGGGGGCGGTCGCCGCGCTGGTGACAGAGACGCACAGCCACTTGTAGATGACCAGGAAGACGAGGTAGCCAAAAAGCCCCAGCAGGAAGATCAGCTCAGGCAGGGTCTCCAAGAGCAGCCGGTGCCACTGGCCAAAGTGCCTGAGGGACGGGAAGAATGGGGTCCCCAGGTCACCCACCTCGGGCCACCCTGGCCCTGCCTGTCCAGGTGTCCCCCCTCCCCCACCCGTCTGGGGAACCCGGGCCCTCACACGTGGTTGAAGACTCCCAGGACCACCCCGAAGGTCATGTGGGTGACCCCAAGGATGACGGACATCTTCATCTTGAAAGAGTTGAGGAAGCTCAGGTGGTTGACGGCCAGGCTCCAGACCTGGGGTGGCAGGAGGGACAGGTGGCACACAGAGGCGTCTCTGCCCGCATCCCTCTCGGTAGCCCCTCTGCCCCTGGGGGGCCGTACCACTGTTTGCAACCCGTTGGCCCATGGCGGGCCAGCAGAAGGGAGCGGTGATGTGCACAGACAGGCTGGGCAACAGGGCCCAGACCCCGCTCTTCCCTGCCACGTGACCCTGCCCACAGCTCTCCTGTGCCTCTGCGTCCTCATCTGTGAAATGGGAGCAGTGCCAGCATGGGCCTCATGGGACCATCACCAGGACTATGTACCGCGTCCTGTCACACAGAGCGCACAGAACAGTGCCCGGACGGTGGGCTCCGAGGAAGCCAGCGCTGCCCTCGCTGCCACATGCTTCTCTTGCCTTCCAAGTGGCTGCTGTGTGGGCCCAGCAAGGTGGGCCCCTTGTCCTTCTAGAGCCCCGCACCCCTGCACCCGGCACCAGGCCAGGCCCTCAGGAGGGGTGAGGGTTAACGTCCGGGTCCACGCTGGGACAGGGTCAGTGCGGGGGCCCCGGCCCAGCCCGGCCCTCCCACCTGCCCACACCCCGCAGAGCAAGTGGCCCGGACTCACCGGGTCAATGCCGAAGGGGTAGGGTCCCAGGAAGACACCACTGACCGCGGGGTCCAGGGTGAGCAGCGGGTGTTCGGCCAGGAACGTGTCGCTGTGACAACAAGGACGAGGGGTCAGGGGCTGCGGGGGGCCGCAGGGGCTGCGGGGCCGCCGCCGGGCCTCACCTCCAGCCCGACTGGGTGGCCATGGACGCCACGCTCCAGCCCGAGGGGAAGATGGTCGTGGCGCGGCTGAAG